TTATAAGTAGCAAATGATATTGTACAAACAGAGCCTTAAAACGGAGGCTGGAATACAGTAAGCACACGATAAATGTTCCTCGTGATGATAATGTGCCCTCCAAGGTCCTGCCCTCTCCAGGTCAAGCATCTCCATTCCATCAACCCTGCTGTGTATCATGTAATTCTAGAAAGACCTCCGCTGTTAGAAGCTCCTCCATCACAGCGAGATGCACAGAAATGGATTTAATATTCCAATGTGGTAGAGTGTGCCCCCGATTCGGTGGGAACAGCACCCGCCCTGACGCAGGCTTCACAATTTCATCGGTGCAGCCTACGACGGCTTTGGCTCTTTGCCCTACCGACCCACATCACTGGGCGCTGTCAGCCTTGTAGACACCAAAAACTACCGGCTCTTTTTCATGAAAACTCCTGTCAAACCAAGCCTTTCCAAACAATATTTATGTAATTGGGGGGGGGTGTATGAATACATTTACATCTATTAAAGTAAATTCTTGGTGTGGGATCTTGATTCCAGCCTTTTGCAGTGCAGTTGCATTCTGGTTTTATTATTCAGTCTTTCCTAATGTTGTGTCATGTGCAAAACTGGATAAATATGCTTTATTCTTATCCAAATGGTTGACTGAAGTGTTACCCGAACAGAGCCAAAGACAGAGCCCTGTGGGAACCCACTAGAGACCTCCATCTCTAAATGATCAGATCTTCTGGAATGTTTGACTTAGGACTCCACCTAACTTTATTACCATTACCCCTGCCTTTTTCCATCTTGTTCATAAAGATATCGTGCCAAACTCAATACATGCTTTTTCTATTTCAATTTCTCATGGATAAAAAAAAAATAGTGGATCCAGAATTATTCCTTCTTAGAGAGAGATAATAGTTTCATGTAATCACAGGGTACGGTGCTGGCCCCCACCACCATGCCCCCAGGGCTCAGGGTATAGCTACATGGGCTTGCCAGAGTTTTATTTTATTGAGTTGATAAAAATCCAGCAGGATTAATAGATCAGAACATGGAAGGGAGCCTGGATGAGAAGCAGCTGGGACCAGACAGTTTGGTGTTGCACATGTGGCAACCAAATTCCATTCAAGTGTCACCTTCTTTCTGCCGAAGATCCTGTTTAGATCTGGTGCTTGTCACGATCTCTGGTCGTGACAATAGAAGGGTTACTTGCGAAGGTTTTTCAAGGACTGCCTCTGAAATCTGCCCTCGGGAACTACAGATGGAGGGAGAGATGCCGAGGGCTGTGGCAAAGCCCCCTGAGGGGAGCAATAACTCCATACAACAAAGGAGACGGGGAGGGGCCCTGTATGGGTTTTGACTCAATATGGGAATCAGGGAAGTTGAAGAATTATCATGCTGGCAGGGAAAATGAAGCAACTCTGCCTTTTTTCTGAGAGAGAGAGAGAGCACTCAAGCAGGGGAAGGGCAGAGGGAGAGAGAGAGAATCCCAAGCAGGCTCCACACTCACTATGGAGCCAAGGTGGGCCTTGATCCCACGACCCCAAGATCATGACCTGAGCTGAAATCAAGAGTCGGTGCTTAACCAACTGAGCCCTCCAGATGCTCCCCCCTTTTTTTTCAGTTTTTTTTTTTTTTTTGGTTTTTGGGCTTTGGTTTTTTTAGAATTCGGCCTTATCTTACAATTCCTCCTTTGACAGTCTACTTTCCCAAGAGGCAAATGTCCATTTGGCTTGGGGCTCATGGGAGCGTGACCTGGGGTTCACCAGAATGTGCCCATCTTCACTGTCCTTCTCTCCACAGCTTACATGCAGGAGGGAGAGATGACTACAGGGGAGATCAGGGGAAGAAAAGGCAATGGGGGGGGCCACTGTAAAGGAAAATAAGAGGAAAACTTAAAATATAGAGTGACCATGGTCATTTTATTAGATTCTTTACTCAAACATCCACTTTGGGGAAAAAAAGGTCTAAAACTGACCACACAAGTGTTGGCAGTAGACAGAACCAGAAATTTGGCCCTGGTTACGTTAACTCCATTAGGCCTGAGTTCTTTCCTCTGTAAAATGAAGGCCAGGAGGCACTAGCGAAAGAAGTTCTGTGACCTTGTCAAACACCAACATTTTAGGCACTGGAATGTTCCATTCTGAAGGGTTAAGAAAGCTCTAGCAATCTGGAGGTTGCAGAAATGAGGGTCAGGCACTGATACAGGGCCACACAGAGCCATCTGCATACCTGGAGCGTCCTAAAGCTGGGGGCCGGAGGGGGGGCGGGCAAAGCATTGTCGGCCTTGGGTGGAAGGGGTTCCAGAAGATGCCCACAGGTTGGACCCTAGAATGTGCAGTGGCCGACCATCTACAACCTGGCGGCCAATGGCCCAGATCCCGGATCTCAGCAGTCCAGAATGCTCCAGAAAGATTTTTCTGATGCCTCCCGCCTCCAGTTCTGCAATAATTCCATGTTTCAGATTGGAGCTGGAACGGAGGCAAACCTGCAAACCCTGATAGCTACAGAAGGAAGTGAGTGGGCCAGGAAGGAAAAGATCAGCTGGGCACAGTTCGGCTCTCGGCAAGAACGACAAGTCTAGAAATGCAGGAAGGAAACCTGAAAGAATGCCCGGGGGGGTGGGGGGTGGGGTGTATGTTACTGCGGCATTTCCAGGGCCAGGCTGTCCTCTTTGTTTGGGCACACTTTTCCTAACAGAAAGCCAATGTTCTCATCACATACTCGTGGACGTTAATAACAGCATATAAGACCGCTGTCTGCAAAGATGCCTGGTTGCATGCAAATGGGCTGCAAATACCTTGGAGGGTTTCACAAAAATAAGACTCCGGGGCCATAAGAGTCTGGCAAAGGAGATGGGTCCTCTCACGACGACGGTGGGAGGGAACGCGCGAACTGCTCGAGCATGCGAGCCTTTTAAAATGGGACGCACTTGCCTCGAGCCCACGGAACGTCTGCAGTTCCGCCTAGGTGCCCTTCACGGAAAAGCGGCTCTAAGAGGTTTGCTTTTGCAGAGGCCCGGCTCCCTGAGGGCGATCCCTGAGGTTTTACCGCCATCCAGTGGAAGTCTGGAGTATGGCAGCTGCGGAACCGCCCAAGCCTCAAGTGAGAGGCAGAGAGGAGACACAGTCTTTCCCCTGCCCGACAGTGAAAGATGAGAGGAAGATTGCTGAGCTTCGTTTCATTATCACCCATTTAGTTCAAAGGAGATGCCATTTTGGTTCCCGACCATCAGTCAACGGGCATCACTCAAGGACCAGGCTGGGCTGAATTTGCACATTCTATTTCCGCCCAGTGAAGATGGAGACCTACGGGAGGTCTTTGGAAACGTCCTCTCCAATATCATGGCAATCGTCAGGTGCCAACACTTCCAGTCCCTGCCATGTCCCTATTTTAACAGAAGAGTTTAATTATGTCCTGAAGGCGTAAGACCTGAAGACAGGGTAGCGGGGGGGGACAAGGGCTGTTCCAAACCGGGAGCATTTATCTACCTCCTGGGAAGAAAAAGAACTCAGTGAGGGGATGGTCTACTTGTTCCAACGCTGTATTTCTTAGAAGAGAAGCCAGCAATCGGAGCCAGTCCTGTGTTTCCTCCTGTTTTTGAAGAAGTTGCTGTGAGGACTGCAGTCATGGGGATACAAAACCCTGGCAGATCCTCTTTCCTAACAAGAAAGCAGATCCAGGGTCGTCTGTGGCTTTCCCTTTCACTCAGCCCCCTTTGTTCAGGTGATGGGCTAAAGACCAGAGGAGGAAAGAAAAGAGGGGAGGGATAGGTGTTTCTTGAGTACCTACACTGTGACAGGCAACAGACGTGAAATTACACTGTGTTCTCCTCCCAAAAACCTCGCTGGGTTATGGGCTCTTAAGAAAGACCAGAATGGGGCGCCTGGGTGGCTCAGTCGGTTAAGCGTCTGCCTTCGGCTCAGGTCATGATCCCGGAGTCCCAGGATCGAGTCCCTTGGAAAAGCCATGGAAATGGCTTTTCGGGCTCCCTGCTCGGCGGGGAGTCTGCTTCTCCCTCGGACCCTCCCCCCTCTCATGCTCTCTCTCTCTATTTCATTCTCTCTCTCAAACAGATAAATAAAATCTTTAAAAAAAAAAAAAAGAAAGAAAGACCAGAATGGTCTAGAAGGATCCAAATCATGATTTGTAATTCCCCCTTTTCAATACAAAACTAGGCTAATGTTAGTGCAAAGCCATGTGAGAAACAATCAACCAAATCTTTGTGGAATGTAAATATCCTTAATTCTGAGTGTCATCAGTTCACCTCCAACCTCACCTCAACCCTCTGCCCACACCGGGTTTTTCTTTTGATGAAAAGCAGAGCTTCAGGCTCTTAGGAGGTAAACCCCCTAACTCAGCTATAAGTTTTTCAATGTCATTCTGTTTCAGTACATGGGGATTTTTTTTTTTCCTTCACCAAAAAGTGTTTCCTATGGCCCTTCCCCACAGAGCTGTTTCTGGGATTAAGTAAATAATAATTGTTAGGTACCATGTCTTTTCCAAGGGCTATTATGAACCGATTCTGTCAAACAGGGATCTGAATGTATTCCCTTCTACAATTAAACCTGTGAATTGTGGAGCTGGCTTTGAGGTCTCCCCCGTGTCCTACTTGGCCTGCCAAACCCCATTCCAAGGTTGCCACTCCTCTGCCTTCCTGCAGCAAAACCTCAGGATCCGTGACCCTTCTTGGCTCCCGCTGTCACCCTTGCCCCTCACCTCAACACCTGGGGAAAACACACTTGTCTTAGACGTAAGGAAGAGAAGGAGAAACGCGTGGAGAAGGGTCAAGTGCACGCCCAGTGGAATTGAACCTTGAACTTCAGCTCCGGGACCTCAGCTCTGCGTGAAGACAAGTGAGACAGCCCCACTGTCTCTCCTTCAGGTCCACTGCACACCCCCGTACTGCCGGTCTGCCATCATGAAAGACTTGCCACCACATCTTTATTGCGCCTCCAAGTGAGGAGCGGTGAATAACTTATTATACAAGGAACACTCCCCATTTGTAGACGATGCCCGCTTACAGAACACAGGTGGTGAACGCAGCATGAAGCTGTTTACAGAAGCTGACGAGCAAGGGGGTGACAGAGGCATCAGTGCAAGGAATTTAGCGCAAGGACAGTGCACGAATTCTCCTGGCAAGTGGGCTACACAAGAGGAAGTTCTGGGAAAGCATGCAGGGGAGCTTATGTCCGGGGACGGACAGCACGTTTGGGAATGGTGACCAGTGAATTGGTGCTGGGGACCCGCAGGGGTCCCGTGGTAGCGCCACAGAGATGAGTATATTGGGGGTGACCTTCAGCCTGTCCTACCCAGGCAAGATGGGAGGGTGCCAGTCAGTTGGCTTCCAGTGTAGATTTCGGCAGGGACAGGCCTTGGCTGTTTTTGCTCAGATTTGCAGTTCTGCTCTGGGCCAAGCGATCCTCACAAAACCGGCCTGGAGGGAGAAGAGCTGGCTCCTGAAGCTCACTGAGCCAGGAAGTGGTCAGATGACCAGAGCTTTAGTCACTTGTGAAATGACTGGGCACAGTAATGGGCACACCCTGAGCTGCCGGAGACTCCCTCCCACTTAAAAGAAGTATCCTAAGCCTGGGACAAAGGGAAAACACGAGTGCTAGGCCCTGGAGTCTTGTTAGCCCCCCCAGAAACTCCAGAAGGGAAGGCAAGTTCTTCCCAAAAGGTTTTGTACAGTTTCCTCAGGTGCCTCAGGATTTAGCCCATATCCCTCGGGACTCCCCACTGATTGGCTGACTTGCTGTGTTTGTCCCAATCTTCTGAACGGCTAACTGCCGTCTTTCCTTCCTTCGTAGTCATTGTAAGGGCTAGTCCGCGTCTGGGCCCGTGGAATGGAGAAATCCTTTTGGGAGGGTCGATTCTGAAAAGGAAGCAGCCAGCATATTGTTAAGTCCACTCCAATTCCCGGATATTTCACCAGATCTCCGATCTGGGCAGGAACCTTAACTTTCTCCCCTTCTCCCATCCCTCCCCCTGAAGTGCCCTTCCCTGTGCCCTGGGAATACTCCAGGAATTCTAGGAATCCTCCAGTGTCCCGTGCTAACCCTTGAGGCAGATCACAGGAAAGGAGACACGTCGTCCTTCCAAGATGGCCGTCCAGGGGCCCTCAGAATGGCTACGACCTGTGTTCCCGAAGGACAGACATTCCCAGAGAGCTAATGCCACTGACAAAAAAGGAGAAAGAAACCATTTACCTGCAGCTGAAAATGGGTGGAATAAGGAGCATAGAGCGTATCACCTAGCTCTTCAAGACCTGAAACAGAGGGAGAGGAGGGAGTACAGCACTGGGGCCCCACCGGCTTCCTGCTCCAGCCGGTGCTCACCGCCCCCCATTCATTCAACTATCAAAACATGCGGTGCTATCCGTTTGTCTGTCTCCCCAGGAGACCGTACGTTTCATGGAGGGAGAGACCGTCCCAGGGCCAGGCACAAAGTAAGCACCACACTGGAGGAATAAATGAACAGAAGGTCACTAGGGGAGCCCCTTTCCAGAAAACCTCCTTGGCAGCGCACCTCACCCCAGGACCACTTCAAAAGCACATCTGAAACCAGTCTTTTCAGAATTAGATCTGGCCAGAAGATGTTACCTGGAGCGAATCTCACTGAGGATTTACCCACTTCCTTAACTGCCCACAAGGAAAGGAAAAAAAAAAAGTTTTTTTTTCTTTTTACTTTCTTTGAGAGGGGGCGGAACTTATGAGCAATTGTTTTCTGTGTATTTGGGGAAAATTAGAGGGATTTAAACTCTGGAACAGAAGAGCAAAGGCATACAATCATCATGAATACAATTTAAAGCAATCCATTTATTTCCCACCGAATGTACCCATTTAGTTAACTTCACACACACCTCAGATACTTTCTCTATATAAGATACTGTGGAAAATCTAAAGATGAGAGGCACCTGGGTGGCTCAGTCGGTTAGGTATCGGTTAAGTATCTGTCTGTCTTCGGCTCAGGTCATGATCCCGGGGTCTTGGGATCAAGTCCTGCATCGGGCTCCCTGCTCAGTGGGGAATCTGCTTGTCCCTCTCCTCCCTGCTCATGCTCTCTCTTGCTATCTCTGTCTCTCTCTCAAATAAATAAATAAAATCTTTAAAAAAAAAAATCTAAAGATTAACCAGAATGATTCCTGGCCTGTGGCCAGGCCTGGGGCTGACACTGGAGAGCTAGGGATATAATGACAGCTACACAAATAGTTATGGAATGAGACACACGCTGATAAGAGCATTTCCAAGTCCTACAGCTTGCAGGCAGAGTGAATAATGAGAGACTAGGGAATGTATGACTCTGGAAAAGGACGAGGGCAGAGAGAAGGACATGCCTGGAGCCTGAACACACAGGCAGGGAAAGGCAGTGACTTGGTCTGTTTGGACTGAGAGCGCGCGACTTCCATGGGTGTTGGGTTCTGGCTGTGAAAAGCCTCCCTGTGTAAATATGGCAGGTACTGGGGAGCCAGCAAGGTATGTGAGCAGGAAAATGTGGTAGTCTGGGAAGTATTTTAGGGAGAGGAAGGTGATAGTGGTCCATAAAGTGAATGGAAAGATGAGAGGGAGGAATGTACTTAGGGAGTGCTAACGGGGAGTCCAGGAGTGTGGTGACAGAGTGAAGGCATGAGAGTGGACAGGAGCCGACGGGTGCTAGAATAATCCCCTCCAGCTATCCCTGCTTCCATTCCGGCTTCCAAGTGCCCAGGAGAGGGACCACAGCTGCTGTGAGAAGCACAGAGAGCTTTGCACCTCGGGCTTCAAGGGCAGAGAAAATTGTTAGCTGAAGCTAAGGATCTCGCCTTGGAGGTCCCTCACTTCGGTGCCAAACCCACTCCCCCCTCCCTTGATTAGGCTCAGCGATCAATGACTAGATTCCTTGGGGCAAGGACAGTCTCAAGCTATCGGTTTAGCGTGTGCGTGTGTGCGTGTGTGTGTGTGTGTGTGTGTGAACAACGTAACACCTGGTTACTCACAACTTCAGGCAAGAGCAAAATCATTTGACTCTTTTATGCCAGATACAATCTCTTCCCTCCCACAGGCCCAGAGGCACGCAATAAGATGTGGCTCTTCAGGATAAATCAGAATCCCCAGTAACTTTATGGAGATCCCTGCTGGTTTATGATAAAAGGGCATTCTCCTTCCTCTGTGCTCTGTGACCACAGCAAGAAATCACGGCGTGGCTTTCTATATTCAAATCTCCACATTTCTGGAAGGAACACCTAGTTCTCTTTTATAAAGAACACAATCTCACCTACTTGTCTCTAGAGATTTTTTCAGTCATTTCTTTGCTCCATCTTATTTCGACTCAGAGAAACCCACAGGGTATTGTGTAGAAAGTACTAGATAAGACTCCCAGGGCCAGCTTCTAGTTCTATTAGAACTCTAACCAGCTGGATGTTTTTAAGCAAGATCCGAGCCTTGGGGACCCTATCTGTTCTGTCAGGGGTATGACCTGGATCATCTTGAGTGTTACTATAGTTATAATATTAATGTCCTATGATTCTCCCCCCATCTTTCTACAAGGGATTCTCACCCAGCCATGCTCTGTACCTTGGGTGATTTCCTCTTGAGAGTAGGCTCTGTTCTCCATACCATAGCTCTGCTTCATGAGTTGAGGCTTACAAAATGTATCCTCAACGGGGTAATCCATGGGGTTCCGCTGCTTTGTGAGGAGCCGAAACTCAGGTACAACATAAGCCAACAGGAAAACCCAGCCATTGGCCACCAAGGCTGAGCTGAGGATGGTATCATCCCACGCGAGGCCAAAGGTAGAAATCAGGAGCAGGGTGATCCAGGCCACCCAGATGGCGATGGAGAGAAGCATGGTGAGGAAGATGTGGACCCCGTGTCTCTTCCAGCCGCTGAAGGATCCACAGAAGATGAAGCAGGACACGAGGCAGGTCAGCGCCATCAAGAAAAGGACATAGATAAGCAACATGACAAAGTCTTCGTTGCGCCGAGAGGCAGAAAGCTCAGAGAAGATGACGACATTGGTCCTGTTCATGGTGAGGATGAGGTACTCAGCAGCCACGATGTCCTGCACCAGGCTGAGGCCCACGGCCAGGCTCAGCATCACCAGCAGGGACAGGGGCCTCCTCCCATGCACCAGCTTCGTCAGGTTGAAAGCATGAACCAGGAGGCAGGAGAAGCAGAGGGAGAAGAGGACTCCGAAGAGGAAGAAGCGAGTTGGTCCTGTGCTGCCATCAAGTTGGATGATGAAGGCAAAGGTGAGGCCGAAGATCCCGAGAACGCCCAGGAGGAAAAGAAACTGGGTCGGGAGCACTTTTCGCCTGTTGGAGTCTTGCACCTTGCAGATGAGAATCAGGAGAGCGAACATGAAGGCCACTGAGGTCACAGCTCCAACTGCGGCCACTGCTTCTAAGACAATGCCCCAAATTGCAGTGGTATCACAAAGTCTGTGGTACCTGGCGTCCAGGCTTGAGGGGCAACCACTAGGGGATGTTGTGGCCATTCTGGTCCTGCGTAAAAGCAAAGTTGGGGGGAGGGAGAGGTAACTCTTCTAACAAACTCTTGGCACAGGGACCCAGAAAGATTAGGAAAAACTTTCCTATGTTCGGCCAGGGTGTTTCCCCTGAACTTGCTACATTAGATAAAGCTACTAACTTTTCTCAAGCTCTCGTGGCAAATTCTAAAGACCGATGAAGGAAAAAACCAAATCTCCCCACAATTAAGCTATACTAATGTGTACGCTGACGCCAGAGAACTCAGTGCTCTGTTGAGGGGTTCCGGGGTCTCATTTCAAAACATAACTCGCCAGGGTTCCTGATATTTCTGACTTAGTGTTTTGTCAGAATTCATGAACACGGAAATCTCTAAGCTTAAACTTTAATCACAATTTATCAGTCTCAAGTTTTTTTCCACCTTTGCCTCTGTTTCAGACATTTGTAAGCATCCCATTCTTTTTTTAAAACAGATTTTATTTATTTGAGAGAGAGAGAGAGAGAGCACTTGAGCACGTGAGGGGGGAGGGGCAGAGGGAGAAGCAGACTCCCCGCTGAGTAGGGAGTCCAACGAGGGGCTCGACCCCAGGACCCTGAGATCACGACCTGAGCCAAAGGCGGACGCTTAATTGACTGAGCCACCCGGGCGCCCTGTACGCACCCCATTCTTTCATGGATAAGAGGAGTTCTCTGAACTGTAGATTTCTCTATGGAAGGACAAACATCCGCTTCGCCACCACTGGATCCTCTTCTTTAGCTCTGCTATCACGTTCAAAGGGTTTTTTCCCTCCTTAAGTTTTGTAAGGATGGCTCTACTCTTAGTGATGGAAAGAGTCTTCTCTGTCATAACGAGTTCTTTATTAACTAGGAAGTCCTGGAGGACACACACAAAAAAAGTGGATTATCCAACGAAAGATATTACCAATAGCTAATGCTCATTTTTACTCTGGATCAGAAACTCTTCCAATCACCTTTCATATATATTAATTTCATAGCAACTCTAGTAGGTAAAAAATATTAGCGCTATGTTACAGATGAGAAAACCGAGGCAAGTCAAGTTACCTGCCCAACATCATACTGTGAGGAAACGGCCGAAGCAGAATTTGAACATAAGTCATCTGGCTCTAGGATCCACGCTCTCAACTACAACCAGGTACCACCTCTCGAGTGAGTTCTGGTTGGCCTTAAATGCAATCTGAAATATTCTCATTCTCTCTGTCTCCTCTTATGTCTGCCCCTTTTTCTCCCTCATCAGATGCCCCATAAACCAGCTCTGTTTATGGTCTTGATTCCACTTAGTTCAGCCCCACACAGGCTAGGAGCTCGCAGGTGATAGATGATCCACAAAGCAGGTAATCTGCTTACCCGCTCAAGGACAATCAGAATTGACGGGCTGGGGGCGCCTGGGTGGCTCAGTCAATTAAGTGTGGACTCTTGATTTCGGCTCAGATGGTGATCTCAGGGGTCGTAAGATCAAGCCCCATGTTGGGCTTTGTGTTCAACTCAGAATCTGCTTGTTCCTATTCCTCCCCCTCTATCCGTCCCCCTCCCATTCCAGCTCGAACACACTTTCTTTCTCTCTTTCTCCCTCAAATAAATAAGTAAATAAAATCTTTTAAAAAATTGGCTTTATTTCCTTTATATCTCTCCTTGATCTCCCGGATCTGCTTCCTTCTCTGCTCCCACAACCTTCGTGTCAATTTTAAACCCAGCTGATGTCCCAAACGTCATGAAATCTAATTCCTAAGAATTCAGGGCACGGTGGAAAGATAAAGTGGGAAATTGGAAGAGAGAAGGAGTTTGTACATTTCCTTAAAATATACAGCACTCAAAGTCCAAAGTCAATGTCAGGTAAGACGTTGAAATTCAAAAGTGCTAAGGTTTGTTTTTTTTTTTTTAATTTTATTTATTTGTTTGAGAGAGAGAATGGTAGAGAGCATGAGAGGGAAGAGGATCAGAGGGAGAAGCAGACTCCCTGCTGAGCAGGGAGCCCGATGTGGGACTCGATCCCGGGACTCCAGGATCATGACCTGAGCCGAAGGCAGTCGCTTAACCAACTGAGCCACCCAGGCGCCCAAAAGTGCTACGGTTTTTAACAGTTCGTCAACAAACTAATTTTTTTCTCGATTATCTGGCTGTTTATCTAGGACACCATTCCTTTTGTTTTGTTAAATGCTATTTGTGCATGAATTTTTTTGGGGGGGGTAGCTTTAGATTTTCTTTTCCTGATAGGATTGCTCACTCAACAGTGAAAAGTTCTGAACTGACTCGAAGAGAAATACGGTCAGGGCAGGGAGTAGGGGACAGTTAGAGGAAGAGAAGGCTCACTGAGAACCCCTCCACACAAAATTATCAGTGAAAGATTTTGGCCTCCTCTAAGGCCAAATGGGGAGAGACTGTACAGAAAGGAATTGGAAAGAAGGGGAACCGCTGGGACTGGGAAGCAGGAAAAGGTAAAAAACATTCACTGCCTCCTGCCTCTTTCCTTATAGCAGAAAAACAGCTCAGAACGTCTTCACCACATGCCCATAAATGTGTATAGACAAGATTTCTCTGGCCCTTCACAGCTCTATGGGATGCTGTGATCAATCCAAGGAAAAAGAACACCCATTCCTCCTTCTTCTATCTTATGTCTTCAAGATCCAACCACAAGTCAGGGAAGCAGCACAGTGGGATACAGAACGAGCCATCACTCACTAACTGTCCAGGGCAAATGAGCCTCTTCCTCAATGCGGACAGAACTCAAACATCTGCTTCCCTTAAAGATATAAAATCTGGGGGTGCCTAGGTAGCGCAGTCGGTTAAGCATCTGACTCTTGGTTTGGGCTCAGGTCATGATCTCAGGGTCATGGGATCCAGCCATCGTCTGACCCACCTGTTGGGCTCTGTGCTCAATGGGGAATCTGCTGGAAAGATTCTCTCCTGATGCCCCACCCCTCCCCCCAATAAATAAAAAAAGATACAAAATCTGCATTTCAGTTAGATGAGAGAGTTATCGCCCTAGCACTGTTTTATTCTCATGGCAATAAGGGAAAAAATAATATGTATATATATGCAATATAAAACACATACTTACATACATGAATATTATGTATATGCTGGAATATTATAGGTGTGGTGTATTAGAATAAAATAACTTAAGGAATATAAAGAGCAAATAGTTTATAGCTTCAATTAGCTTTTTAATGAAATTTGGTTCGCCAAGCTTAACTTTGTATCGTATTAAGTCGTTCACTCAACCAGTACTTCCTGAGCACCGCTATGTGCCCATCACTAGGCTAAAGAGTCAGTGGTAAAGGGGAAAACAGACAAGTGCACTAGCATGGTGGAAGGGACAGACAGACATACAGACAGAATCTGCCACTATGGCCACAGGCTTCCCACAGCCCTTCGTCACCAGGGGGTCTGTCACCTACATTCTACCGCAGGGTCACCCCTACTGCAGAGCACAGAGCAAAGAATGGGTGAAGAACGGGTCACGGGTCACGGGTCCCGTTCTTCAGGGAAGCGCAGGATGAGAAATAGGAGGAAGAGGGCAGGCATCCCCTGAAACACGAGTGCCCAAAGTCTGACTTGCCTTGGCTACTCCACCACTCTGGTGGTGGTTCGGGGAAGGGAGGTGTAGACGGGACTCGCTTGTGGGTGCCAGGAGTATGGGAGAGGAAGAAGCTCCCCAGCCCGGGGCTGAATGCAAGCACTGCGCACACCAGGGAAGGGAGAGACCCAGGCTGCGCGCATTTCTTCTGCGCTCACCTTTACCTCCCCACCTCACCCCCTCTCAGATCCGCCATAAGGGCAGTGTCTAGCTGCAAAGGTATTTCCCCCTCCCAGGCCCTCCCCACCCCCCACCCCCATGCCAGTGGTTCCTTCCCCACCCGTCAAGGTAGTACTGTCCCTTGAGGAGCAGTCATCAGCATCACCCGGGAACCCTGAAGGACTTCGGGCTTGAGGACTCTAAGTCTTGACAGAGATCGATGAGGCGTTTGCCTAAAGGATGGTTGTGGTGCTGGCCAGAGGAACAGTGAGGCAGAACCTCCCGCCCCCAACTTGGACCTCCAGGCCGCTCCCTTCTGGTGGCGGCGGGGCTGTGTCTCCAGCCTCCTGGCATCCGCAGACCAGGCTCGGATGAGAGCAATGGGCCACGGGTGTGGAGAGGGGAGAAAACAGATTTCCCTCCACTTCACCCCCACCTCCCACCCTAATCATACATGGGAGATGGGGAAACAGACCCTGAAGTGCCTTAGAACGTTGTTTTTAGGGGCACCTGGGTGGCTCAGTTGGTTGGGCATCTGCCTTGGGCTCTAGTCATGATCTTGGGGTCCTGGGATCGAGCCCCAAGTCAGGCTCCCTGCTCAGCAGGGAACCTGCTTCTCCCTCTGCCTCTCCGCTGCACCCCTCCCCACTCCGCTTGCTCTCTCACTCTCTCCCTCTTAATAAATAAAATATTTTTTTAAAAAACCCACTGTTTTTCAAGAAATGTTGACATTTTCAAGCATACTCGCAAAGCCCATGGACTCATCACTTGGTTTCAGAAATTACCAATATATGGCCAATTCTGCTTCATCGCCATCCCTACCCCACTTACTAGATTATTTTTCAGCAAACCCCAGACATCATACCATTTTATGCACAAACACTTCAGTGTGTATCTCTAAAAGATAAAACTCCTTTTTAACTTAACTGCACTTCAAAAGTTAACAATAATCCTATACTATCAAATATCCAGTTAGGGCTCATATTTCCCAATTCTCTCACAAATGTCTTTTTAAATTTTTTCTTAGTAAATACGTTTTTATCTGACCGACTAATTTTGTCAGAATTATCCTTACTTCACCTCTGTTAGCCCTCCTCCACCTCTTCCTCCAGCATGACAGGCATTGGGCAATGGGCCTAAAATGTCCCAAGTACTCTGAATTTGGTCAGAGGAAAATGAAACTCACCGGACTCATTAACAAGCAGCTCTGTACAGAGAAGGCCCTGTGTCACCCAGGGAGTGGTCCAGATGAGGAAA